CCCCCCGCAGCTGCCTACAGGAGCTCCCCTCTCACTGCCATCACACCCCCCCTGCCAACACTGCCACCAACACCTGCGGGAACTCACTGTGCCCCCCAGCCTCGGGAGGTAACTATTCATGAGGTACCTCGACATCCACCGTAGCTGGCTAACATGGATCAGAGATAAACCTGTCCTTGAGTGGAGTAACTTTAAGCTGCCTAAAGTTTGCTTAAAACTAGTTTCAGGTGGTAATGTGTGGATAACCTAAGTGTTAAGAGCTCCAGAGCTACCTAAAATTAATGTGTAACAAGGTCCTTTACATTAGAGAGGACAAGGTCAAAAAACACACACATTGGAGAGATACATGGTAAAGTTTGTGCTGGTCATTAATTCCTGGGCTTGTTTATTGCACAGTCTCAGTCCAACCCCACTAATTGGTCTCTTTTCCTGCATAGGTGAACTTTACCCATTGTTGTAAGGTTCTTTTCTGGCAGGAAGTATAAATAGTTCTAAGATGCATAAAGAAGTTTTCTGCAATCCTGGCTCAGAATAAATAAACAGCTTACAGCAACATGAACATGGGGAACAGCAACGAACATTAGTTTTTTCCCCATATTTATACACTTTGGTTTATGCTCATTACCATTTATTCCACCCTGTCCCTCCTTTTGTTCTACCCATTTCTCCTCCCATTTTAAGCTCTGCTTCTGTTTACTGTGTGCTTCATTAGCGTGGAATTGCCTATGCGTTTTACTTATTTATATGTCTTTTTGCTATAAGTGCATGTCTAAGACCTGGACTCCTGCTCTTCAGTCAATGGGCAGACTTTGACCAAAACTTGGAAGCTTCTGGAGGCTTCTTCACCAATCACCATTCACCTTTTTGCATATGTTCGTTTCAAATTCTTTTACCAATTACATGTTGTTTTTCACATTCCAGTCTGTTTTTCTGTCTCATGTTATACCATCTTACACCTTTTTTGGGCCCCTGTGTCTTATCGTGTTCCTCACTGTAGCTGGTTCACAGCCCACAGGCTTAATTGCTGCTTTTTCCAGAAAAATGGTTAACACAATTAAGATGGTTACTTAGCATAAGCAAATGGCTGGTTTAGCTATCATTCTGCCTTGTGGTCAGCAGCTTTTGCTAGGCCAAAGGTTAGAGCCTTTATTCAGCTGCAAGTCCAGTGCTTCCTAATATCAAAATATTGTCACCCTAACATTAGTATTATTAACTTTCATGCCATTTCTCTTATTTCAATCTCGCATTGATCCAGTATTCTTGGTGTGATTTTTTTTTTTTTTTTTTTTTTTTTAATGTATAATATTCCATCTGTCATCAAGACATTTCATTAGGACTTTCCTACTCTTTTGGCCAAGACAATTAATGAAAATCCATCCCAGAATCTTGAGAGATGTATTCCGTTCACAAGTGAACCTTCTTCCATTCCAACAGGACTTCTATCAGCATAAACTACTGTGGTCTCCCCATTATCCAGTACATTACCCACCATAAAGCTCTTTGTACTACCCACATCTTTTCCAGCTTAATTTATAATTTCCAGTGTGGCAAATGCTTTAGTGCAGTCCAAATAGATCTACTAAAATTCCTTTGTCTAAAAAAACAGATATCAAAGAAGGAAACCACAGTCTGCCTCTGATTAAACTCATGTTATATTTAATCCTATTTTTCATATCACTCTGTCTTTAGTTTTTCTGTCCTTCAACAATTGTTCTAAAGCCTTGCATTCCAGGTGGATATGAATAAATAGTTCTTCAGACACAACGTTTCTAAGTACTCTCACATATCGTATGCAAGAAACACTCTCTGTAATATGAAATATAGCAGCTAGGCAATACGCAATTAACAATACAGGAAGACTCTGGCCCAGAACAACAGTTCAAACTGTTATTCCCATATCTAAATATATGTGCCACTGCTTTAATGCTTACTTGGAATAAGTTGTGTTCCTACTGTTGCTAATTGAATGGTTGCAGGGATTTGGACAGGGGAATCTTGAACTTCCAAGGGAAGAAGGGGAGGAATTAAGCATTGAAAATCAACTTAACGCAATTTCAGTGTCTCCTTTTCACATCTTTAAACTTACACCTTTTGATCTCCGAGTTCACTTCAGTTATTGACCAGTGGGAAATGCTGAAAAAAAATTATGTTCCCTATGTTTTTCAAATGGAGAGTGAGGGACTTAATGGCTGGTGGGATTCAGGTTGTACTATAACCTCCTGAGTTGCCAGTACTCGTGTATATTTCAGTGGTCACTTCTATACGTGATGCTATGGTGACGTAGCATCTACGGGCAAGGGCTGTGATGCTGCAGCTACGTCATTGTAGCAATGCGCCCCCTAGGTATAGCAGGTTGCTACAGCAACATAGCAGCTAAAAATAACTGCGTCACACGTGTGGCACAGTATGGGCTGTTACTGCACCATCATTTAGTATTTCCAAAAGGAAATACTAAATGACAGTAACAAAGGTGCCATAGGGACATGTGTACATGTGTCCAGTGAAATCCATTGGATCATTTATGCTGGCTTGGAGTCCTGTCTAAATCCATGGAAATATGCTAATGAAGGTTAGTCCTCATTGAATTTATTGCAAAATCAGGGCCCTATGCTATGATATGCCGTACTCCTTATGTAAATTAAGTGAGCTCTTTTTCTCTTGGTTTCATTTTGATATTTTTAGCTTGCAGGTTGGTCAATCCAGCTGGCTGAAGTGGATCAAGGGAGTAATGAAAGCACAGCCTCCTTTTGCAGTGCAGTGAAGAAGTAAGTAATAAAAAAACTTCATTCAGCCAAGTGTGAAGTTCCTCTTACTTCCATTAATTAGATCATTATTCCTGCATTTCTTCATACTATCACAATTCCAAATAGCCTTTTAAAATGTAAAAATACTCTTAATTTCATTTTAGAGGTTAAAGTAGACAAGTAAGTAAAGTAAGTATAGTTCAGAAAAGTCTGTCTTCCCATCCCTCCACTTTATTACTGACATATATAACCAGATCTCTTCAACATTGATGTTTTCCACTGTATTGAACTTAAAATATATTTCCTGGCATATTGTGTCTTTCGAACAGTTTTAGCATCCCTGGAGTTTGGAGTAAAACATTAAAATCTGGTGGAGAGAGACCTCCCTGACACCAGAACTGCTTTTTATTCCACTCAGTGAAATTTCTGATTTGGCCACATTCTATAGTTTTGTACAATCATCATTTGCCATTAGCAGTTATACTTGCTACTATGGATGGGAAATGAACTGATGCTATTTGTTGACCTTCTTCAGTTTTCTTTCTAAAAAGAAAAAGAAAAAACAAGGAAAACTCATACAAAACATAAGAACAGTAAGTAATACAAAATGTAAGACTGACTATGAAAATACAGTTCAGCCCCATTATTTGTATTCATTATGATGTCTTTAAGGGTACCAACAATACTATTTCCTCCCCACGTATACACTTAAGTGGAAAGAAAATTATAGTTTTAGTGTTAACAAGTCTTCTTTTTTTGTAGACTAGTCAAACACCATCTGTGCAAACATTTCTTTCTAAATTGCGTGCCCTGAAATTAACAGCTGAATACTTTCAGCTTAAAAAAGAGTGCCCATTTTCCAAACATGTCACTGTACAGAGTTCTCAATCTTTTTTTTTTTTTTCCCACTGTTCACCAGTCTAAATCTAAATTCAATCCTAATAACATCAGATTCATGGAGGTATATTCCATGTGACAAACCTTCCCATCAGCTCCTCAGATTATGTCCAAACATCTTGCATTTAACTTTCCAGTCCAATTACAGGAAAAGCCCCATATTGATTTTTCCTCCTGAATTCATGTGTTTATTTACAGTATTAGAAAGATTAATACAAATTAAGCTCTTTCTACTTTGTGCAACTTGTTTTGTGTGTCAGTGCCAGGCCTTTTTTTAACTTTGTTTTTCTTGTATCAAATGAGAAAGTATCCTCAGGAGAAAATGTCACATCAAAGAAAAGACGACGAAAAATCTCAAATAGATTTGCAGACAACTAACACATTCAGTCTTAGTGAGCGAGCTTCTTCTAAGTCCCCAATGAATCTCAGTAACTGGCAGGTTTTATAAATCAGAGGCAAGATATATAATTCAAACTCCATGTCATGCAAACTTACAGTTCTAGCTTATAGTTCAAATAGAAACCCATTGTGTTTTTCTCTAGGTAATATTTGTACAGGTGGCAGTCTATAATTGAAACATTTCATTGTACACGTATCAACTTTAAAGCAGTTTTCAAAATCCTTTATCAAGTTTCCTGGTACAATTGCGGACACAGCTAGAGCAAATGTTCGTCCAGCAGTAGCTTCAGAATACCGTTTAAAGTGAATTTGATACTAGAGAAACATGCCATTTTTGACAAGGTCATGGTTCCGTGCTACAAAGTGTAGAGTTCCTTCAGTTTCTGCAGACTTCAAGTTTACTTCATGCTACTTTGCTGTACTTCATGGCAGTAAGCATCAAGCCATAACAAATTACTAGAAATAAGTCATCTTTTTATACGCAGAACAGGTGCAGCCTGTTCAGCAAACAGTGCAGATATTCCTCGGTCCTGTCGACCTGGGAGAGTGAGAGGGTATGTTGGTCTCCAGACTCATTCAATCATTGGCCTTTACACAGAGATACCTTAAGAGGATGAAGCTTGTAATCATGAAATTATTTTATGTGTACCTTGCCCACTATTTTTACATAGGTCACCAAAGCAGCCTTTGTAGAGTAATGACTTTTGTTACTGCTATACATCAAGCTCCTGTACTGAAGGTGCTGTCAGACTTCATTTCCTGTTACACCAATAAACCATTCTGCCCCCGGCCTTTCATGGGAAATAACATACTTCTTCATTGTCTTATAATATTGGAAGCCCAGGGTTTTTTTCCATGCTGTAGGAATGTGCACACAATACAATACTGCTGTCTAAACAAGTTAGGAACCAACCCTGAAGTAACCTTAGAATGAAGAGCTTTACATAAGAGAGAGCTACACCACAAATAATACTGTAACTGAAGACCACATGAAGTGCTGCCAGCTCATGAGCAACAAAACACTGCTTGCACAAAAAAAGGAATGCAGTTGTGCTTACTAAAGAGTATTTGATTTTAGTTATTAAAGCATTTGGCTAAATAGTGAAATGTAAAACTTCAGTTGATAAGATGTACACCTTTCCCTGCTACCTTTAAAGTGGACTTGCTTTAGGATGTGCGTTTAAACTTAGATGATAGCCATGAGGTTTTCTGGGGCCCCTCAGACAATCAGAAGCATGGGTGAGCCCACCATGCTCCAACATGAAAATGGCACCTAATGCCACACCCAGACTGTGAAACACAGAGGCAGGTAGCCTCTGTGAATTAAGCAGGTCCCTACTCTTTAGTGATCTATCTCAATGGCTTTTGCAGTTTACTTGTTAGCATCTAAAGGAGTTTTCCTTAAACCTAAGTTAGAAATACTCATGTTTTTGGTGATGAAGGTTCCAGGTGTTGTCCCAGAGCTAGTTAAAAATTACGACTTGTGCATATGTATCTGAAATTTTGTTTAGAAAATGTGTCCCTTGTCTTGAATTTTTTAAAAATTTTTCAGTCATCTTTATTCAATCCTAGCTAATACCTTGGAAAAATATGAAAGAGGCAGCAGTTATCTCACCAAGATATCAGAAGAAAAGCTACTCTTGCTGTTATATTCTGAATCTACATGTAAATATAGTTAGTGTCCTTAACGCTGAACCGTTCTATTGTTACTGGCATTTTATGGTAGCTTTGTCTCATTCATGCGACAGGAAAGCTGAAATAATATTCATAGTATTGAAAATAATCTTATCATATGTCTGCAGAATACGAGATTCATGTCCTGCTTTTGACTCGAAGAAAAACACTGGGAAGATCTGGAGTGTTGCAACAATGGTCCCAAACCAGATTCTTTGTAAATCAAAGTTGAGAATAAGCATTTTGACAAACAGTTCCTCACAGCCACTGCATCTTACACCATATGGTAAGCTCTTTGGATTTTCTTATCTTTCCAAGATACAGTACTACAGAAACACATAGCAACTTGTCTGTTATCCTATGAGATATCTAGTAACACTCTGTTGTAAGATGTATATTAACAAAACACTCACTGTAGCAAGCACCCCGATGATAAAAATGTCTGAATGAAATTATAAATGTTCATGTAGTCACTATAAACTGTAACATTATATTTTAATAGCAAAGCATCAAAATAGTATGTGCATGCTACAATTTTTATTCACAGGGTGCATTTACACGTTCAATTTGTGTGACATGATAAACTCCAGTGCAGTTCATGCCAGACTTAGTCTTCCGAGCACAGTGTCTACAAGTGTGCCTGGGACTGCAGCAATTTGAGCCCAGGTGGAGCAGCCTTGGGCTCCAGGTCATAGCATCAAGAGGCAGAGGGGTTAGCTGGGGCTGGTAATGCCCAAAGAAAAGAGTTGTGCAACTAAGCAGCAGGTAGGGGTCTGGTCCCCAGCAGTACTGTCTTACAGCAGTAAAAATGTGTTTGCTGCAGTCTAATAGCGCCGCAGCAGATTAGTCTACTGCACAGTTAAGCAGACACCGCACCCACAGCGTCTTCTTTAAAAACTTGTAACTGGCATCTATACTGGCCCACTTATTGGAGGCCCAAGGGTCAAAGTTTTGATTGACCAAATTTACTTAAGTACATGCCTGATCTAAGGGCTGTAGGTAATCCCACAGGAGTCATGGGACTACTTATATGCTTAAGTACCATGCTGAATCAGAGCCTGAATGAACACATACACTGAATTAGTCTCTCACTTCTTGATCACTAGGTCAGGGTAGCGGCTTACTGAAGGGAAGAAAGCATAGCCATCACTTATGCTATGTCTTTGAATAAATAAATGCAAATCCATATCTTTTACTTTGGCAACTTTGAGTGTAAAGAAACACACTGGATGCATCTGCGCACACACTTTACTGCCAAGGAGACTAATTAGCTTTACAGTAAAATGTCACTATCTACATGTGTGCCAGTATTAGGGCAAATTAAATTAATTAAATTTCCCATATGATAGTACTGTTGGGGTGAAACGCACGTGCTGAAACACATATGTAAATGAGAACAGGTGCTGCCCGGGGCACAAGGGTGCTAAGGTATGGGAAATGCCTGCTGCCTAGCCCCACATCTTAGCACCCTTGTGCCCCAGCCATCCTCCTGCCTCATGCTGCAACCCAGAGTCTGACACGCCACTGACCCCCTGGGCCCTCTGCCAGCCTGGGGCTACTCTGCCCTGACTCAGTGCTGTTGTCCTGGGTGCACATGTAGATGTGCCCAGGAGCTATTAACTCTGGCATGAACAGTGCCAGAGTTTATTGCTCAACCTTAATTTCATGTGTAGATGCACCCACAGAAATGCAAAAAAAATGAATGAGAACACCATTTTGGATTTTTCCCTCTTCTCTACATCCCTTATCAAGAAACAATTTGGCCATAACAGAGAACAATAGGATTTTGTTTCTTTATGGGGCTGAATGCTGAGAACACAAAATTCTGGGGCTGCAAGGAGTTAGTTTTTTGATATATTCTCTAAGCAACATAGTCCTGGCTATACTTTACTGGTACTAGGCAGTTTGATTTATCCTATTCGCATCTTGGGCAAGTGGGTTTTAGGGAGGTAGGCAACATTTTGAATTTTCATAGAGGATTTAATCAAAGGCAGGACCTCCATCATTTAACACTCAATATTCATAAACTCCTATGATATAGACAAGGAAAACACAGGTAAGCTCACCTTTCCCAAGAACTTGAATGGAGAAATCTCACTTTCTAGAATGGATCTTGGTATACATTTTTGCCTTCATTATAGTTTATATTACAAAGGTGCATCTACACATGCATATTAATTCAAAGCTATAAACTGGCACATATTGTGCCAGAGTTTATTGTTCCCAGGCACCACACTAGCATGTGCACCCAGGACTGTAGCCCACTGAGTGGGGTCAGAGTAACCTCAGCTGGCAGGGGGCACAGGCGGTAAGCCTGCCAGCCCAGGGCTTCTCTGACCTGACTCAATGTGCTACAGAGGACCTGGCTAGGGTATGAGGGTGATTCAGTGCAGGGCTAACTGGCAGGCAGCCCCCACACTGAAGAACCCTCCATGCCCCACCCAGCCAGGTTAGCATCTGCACATGCATTACTGCTCATGAAAAAACTCCGTAGCTGGATAGAACAGGGTAGGGTCACATGTGTAGATATCAAGATGTTTACTGCAGAAGTAATTAGGCAACTCCATAGTAAACATCTCATGTAGACTCATGCCCACAGTCACCAACACCGAAAAGTCCTCACTTTGGTAGAACATAGGAAACAAATAGACCTTGCCCCAAACTTGGTCACAAACTAAATAGACATTCAAACTGTTGGAGAAAATAAACACTTTCACTCCATTTAACAGATGGGAATGAAAGCGTTGTCCAAAATCACGTAGAAAATATAGGAATCAGGAAAGGATAAGAGATCTAGGGAGTACAAGCTCATAAAAGTCTAAAACTAAAAGTCTTAGAATGGGGTTGTATAATATCATTTTAAATTAAAGACTTTTCCATTTAGTATCAATCATAGAACATTGTTTTCCTTCTTTTAGCATCACCTAATATCAATTAATATGTATGACACAAGTGCATTTTCATTTTTTTTCATTTATGAATAGGGATCTAGGTTTTCCATTCATCATGGAAAACTGCAGATTTTCTCCTTTTAAGGAGAAAAACATGGATTTTCTCTTTTAAAGAAGAAAAATGTAGATTTTTATCATTTTAATGGTAGATTTCCCCCTTCAGGGTGGCAGAGTTCCAGCTTGCAAGGGACTGCTTGGGGCTGGGGGGAGCAGGAGGAGGGCAATCAGTCAGGAAGCGTTACAGCCATATGTGTGCACACATACACATGACAGCCAGACAGTGTGGAGAGCAGCTGCTGCAGCTCCCTCCAGGTAAGTCTGGGGAGTGGGAATTGAGGCCCCACAGTGATGGAGGGAAGAAGTAGGGGAGATGGGCTGGGCTAAGTCTGGGGGTGCTGCCCAGCTAAGGCGGTATGTGGGTTCTGGGGCTCAGGGCCAGGGCAGGAATACATGGCTGCAGGGCCCAGGTGGCGAGTGGGACACAGCCATGGGTGGTTCATCCAGGGGGTGGCATCAAGGCTCGCTTCCTGCCACTGCGCACACTCTCAGGGGGAAGGGGGAGCATGAGGGCAAATGCCCTACAGTTTTGTGCATGGGGCAGGGGCAGATACAGATTGCCTGCTGCAGGTTTGGGGCTTCCCACCCTGCTGCCCTCCCTGCATGAGGTTCCATGGCTCAGTGGGTAGGACCCAGCATGGCAGGACAAAGTGAAGCAGGGAGGATCAGTGCCTCGCACCTCCTGGCATCTCCTGCCCACCTGGTGGCAGCATGTGCAGGAGCATGGAGGAGGGGAAACCATGTGCTGTGCTCTGCTTTGGCTGTAGCAGCTGCCACCTCTTGCAAGTGGCAGCCAGGGCTTGGGCACTGCTGGGGGTCCAGAGGGCTGCAGGTCATGAGTGAGGGGTACCAGCAGGGCTGAAGGAGTGGTGAGCTGTGGGTTGGGGAGTGAGGGACAGTAGCAGGGACAGGGAGCTGTTGGTTAGGAGTAGGGGCACCTGGAGGGGGTGGGCAGCTGCAGGTTGGGAGTGAGGGGCACCAGTAGGGCTGGGATGTGGGGAGTAAGGGGCACCAGGAGGGCCAGGGAGCTATGGGTCAGGAGTGAGGGGCACCAGCAGGGCTGTGGAGCCTGTGGCTTGGGAGTGAGGGGCAGGAGCAGGGCACTGGCATATGAGAACTGCCACAAAGTGGGGGGTAGGACAGCCGCAGCTGGGCCCATATGCTGGTGACCAAAAGGGGCAGGGAGAGTTCTGCTTTTTCTTTGTTAAAAAAAAACAAAATCAAATGCCAAAATATATAGACATTTAGAATTTATTATATTATAATGATTGAGGCACTGTTAGGCTTCCATATTGATTTAAAATTGTAAATATATCAATAAAATATTGTATTCAACTGAGACTTATATATACATAGTGGCATTTCATTTTAATCACAGAAAAATGCAGATTTTGAGTTTTTAATCAGAGAATTTGCTATTTTTTAAGCAGAGAAAACCAGGATCTCTGCTTGTGAAACATTTGGCTATAGTCTGTGCCATCATTTTAAAGCAACACTACTGTGCATGTTTCTCTAGCTTTTGTGTGTATCGATTCAGGAAACAAATATTAATGAGATTTGCACTTTAAACAAGCTATGAAAAATTACTATAACTGCAAATGGTTATTGGACTAGAAAATTAAAGTAAACAAACCAGGGCTGGACTTTTAAAAAAATTAAATATAAATTAAAATTAAATTTTTTCTCGGAGAACTTTGGGGCGTTTATACATGCACTCCAGATGCCGAGAGGGAGCGCTTCAATTAGATTGGCTCCGAGATTCACTCTAATGAAAGTGCCCGAAGCATCAACGTATCAGCATCCCCGCAAAGATTGTTGAATGAGTTTTAGTTAAAGTGCCCCACCACCATTTTTCAGTACAGGGATGATGATACACATGATGCGGGAGTCTGCTGGAGCACAGTAATTACAATGCCCCAGCAGACGCAATTAATCAAGTCTGCTCTGATGCATTGTAAGTATAGTGCATTGGAGCAGTCCCGAGAGTGTATAGATACCCTTTGTTTCCACTGAAACATTTTTTCCTCAGAAAAAACTGAAACACCCCAAATTTAATTTTTCTTTTAAACTGAGGACATTATTTTTGTTTTTTTTGGTAATTTTTTAATTGAGAATTTTTTATTTCTTTCCTTAAAGTCTCATGAAAAATAATTTGGTATTTATTGTTCTACCTTTAAAAAAAAAAAAAAAAAAAAAAAGAAAGAAAAAACTTGAAAAATTTGAACCAGATTCTCTTGCATGTTATGACTGTTTTGAGGCAAAGCTGCCCCTAAAACTCTATTTAACTGGCTAATTAAGCCAATTTACTGCTGTCATGTATCCATACAGTGTTGCAAAACAGACACATCTAGGGTTTTTTTGTTTGTTTTGCTTTTTGGCAGGGGGAACAGTGGCGAGAGGGGTTGGATTGTAATTTTTTATATTTGTATTGATCTTTGAGTAATTGACAAAATATGACTTGTTGGAAGGGATTAAACTTAAAAAAACCCTACAACTTGGCTTAAGGCTCATACCCAGAGAGTGGTGGTGGATGGGTCGGTATCGACTTCGAAAAATGTGGGGAGTGGCATCCCCCAAGGATCAGTCCTTGGGCCAGTGCTATTCAATATCTTCTTCAGCGACCTGGATGAGGGCGTGGAAAGCACTCTGTCCAAATTCGCAGATGACACCAAACTATGGGGCAAAGCAAACACACTGATGGGAAGAAACCAAATCCAGGTGGACCTGGGTAGGTTAGAGAGGTGGGCAGAGAACAATGGGATGCAGTTCAACAAGGACAAGTGCAAGGTGCTGCACCTAAGGAGAGGGAATCACCAGCACACCTATAGGCTGGGGGATGACCTTGTCAGCAGCACAGCAGCAGAAAGAGATCTTGGAGTCATTGTTGACTCCAAGATGAATGTGAGGTGTCAATGTGAAGAAGTAATTAGCAGAGCTAACTGTACTTTGCATCACAAACAGGTCCAGGGAGGTGATGCTTCCCTTCTATGTGGCACTGGTCAGGCCGCAGCTGGAGTACTGCATCCAATTCTGGGTGCTGCAATTCAAGAAGGGTGTGGACAACCTTGAGAGGGTTCAGAGGAGGGCCACTCATACAGTTAGAGTGCAGGGAAGGCCCTATGAGGAAAGGGACTTGAAACTTTTCAGCCTCTGCAAGAGAAGGCTGAGGGGGGATCTTGTGGCATCATACAAATTCACTGGCGGGGGGAGGGCACCAGGGAATAGGAGATGCTCTGTTTACCAGAGCACCCCCTGGAATAACCAGGAACAATGGCCACAAGCTGATAAAGAGTAGATTTAGGTTGGACAGCAGAAATAACTTCTTCACAGTTAGGGTTGCCAGAATCTGGACTGGGCTTCCACGGGAGGTGGTGCTCTCACCTACCTTGGGGGTCTTCAAGAAGTGATTGGACAAACACCTGGCTGTGATCACATGACCCCAGCACTTTTTCCTGCCACTGGCAGGGGTCAGACTCAATGATCCATTGAGGTCCCTTCCAACCCTAGCATCTATGAATCTGTGAACTTCTTTATTTTTGAGCAGTAAAGAAATAGCATGAACAAAAAAGTGAAATAAAAGTTTTCCTTTGTTTGGTTATTTGGGTTGTAGACAATCTGACTGGAAGAAAATATTTCTTCAAAGTGTAGTGATTATACATACCCTGAATAAACATAATCTTGATATGTAATCTCTTTCATTTTGGGACCAAATCCTCCCAAAAGGTCTCAGCCTGATGGAAAATGGATTAAACACTGAAACTAGTTTATGTGCACTAAGCTTCTGTTCTGTTACAGGTTTAAACCAGTTTCTGATCACTTAAACCCGTTCATGTGTAATTCTGTCCCTAGCCCTAGGGGTTGCTCCTGCTGACTTGTTCCTCTATCCTGCTCTGTGTGATCTTCTGGCTTTTTAATTCAGCTTGCTCCTTGGCTCTGCTCTCTGCATGATCTTCTGTCTTCTAGCTTTGGTTTGATCCCAGTCCCTGCTCTTGACTTGACCTCCTGGCTCCCTGACCTGGTTGTCCTCAGATTCTATTCAGCCATCTTGACTCTGCTCAGTGCCTGAACTCCTGAATGGCCCCAGACTCAGCTACTCACATCCTGATGTGACAAACAGTGGGAGCAGGGCTGGGAAGAAATCCTCAGACCACTAAATTATATTCCTCGAAACCTATTAATATACACCTACATGCAGTGTTTGTACCCAGCCACTGCTGGGCATGGTTAAGTGAAACGGATGCAGCAGGTTATAGTGGTAGCTAAATCTCTGGAATATCTTTTGGGCCTTGTTTAAGAGAAGAAATCCGTTTGCTATGGGTAATGTAGGCTTGCTTTCAACAAGAATGGGGAAAAAAGTATATCTTTTTCTTGGAAAATCACTTGGGTCTCTTCCATTCCTGATTCATAGTTGATCAGCTTATAGTTTAAGACACACGTACCCTCAAAACAAGGTTGAGTTCAGGACAGGATAAGAGACAAAAATTCACTCTTCTGTGAAGTCAAAAAATAAATGTTAAATCAGTTGTGACTCCATTTTGATGCCTCTTGGTGGAGCTAGACTGCAGCAGTAGTTAACAATTACACTGTGACTCTTATTTTCTCTGCTTCAAAATCTTGCCAGTAATTCTCTACCAAAATCCTATTAATTTTTTCTTACTATCTTTGTTTACAGCTAGCTGCATCGTCCATGACTTAATTGCAGAGATCCTCCGTTGCACAGATCAATATCCAGAGCAGAAAGAGTATTTTCTCATTGTGTGTGGGTCTGATGAAGTTTTACAAAAGTACGTATCTTACTAAGAAATGCTATTGACTGTGCCTTACGTTGTATATGCAATGCACCAAATACTCAAGTATTGTACTGTCTTTGAAAACAAAACAATAGGGAGAGGGTAATAGCAGTGGATACAAGACACAAATCTTCAGCTCATCTTCTTCAAGTTTTGGGAGAGATTCACACACTGGGATTTGGTCCAGTCACATTTCAAATGCTTAATTTCTTAAGCACCTGTAATATTCTGTGTTTACACTGGGCTCTATTGAGATGGCAGTGTAGTTTACTTCTGAAAGCATTGGTCAAACAGCTAGGAACACCTGCCCTTGAATTCCAGCTCTTCTCCTCAACTTTCTGTGCTGCTCTGTATACTTAGTTTTGCTTCTCTGTCATGATTCCCTGATGCCTAAAATGGGGATGCTAATGCCTGTGATGTCTCTCAGGAAATATTACATGTATGAGTTGATGTCACTTAACTTGTAGCTCTGCAATCGTAAAAACTACTAAATAAAGGAAGACAACTGCTATGAAGTCTTTCCATATAAGGTGGTGTTTCTTTACAGTATATAGCAGTAGCGGAGTAAATGAAGGCACCAAGATGCTACTGAGTGTATGACTGTAACGAGAGATCATTATGTGTATGTGCCATGTGAGGCAATCGCTCTACATTAGAAGTAGGCCTTTCAGAGCATCAGATAGTAACTTGGAACTTCATTTCTAGCAGGTAATAAAGAGCATATCTATATACTGTACTGGTAAGAGTGAAATCTATAAAAGCTACTAGAAAAGTAAGTTCACATGCCTGTAATCAAATACATTTTGCAGCTCAAGACATGGACATGAATTCCTTAGCATTTCTAAGCTGAGTCTGCACTTGCTCACTTTTTTATAAAACAGGAGCAAATATATTAAAATAAGGAATAGTAAATTAGTACAAAATAGGACCCAGGGAGATGAGAATCAAGACCCTTATTTCCACTTAATCTTAGATCTGTGATGCATAAGAAGGTCTGGTTCCCTTCCCCTTCTCTCCCCCCTTCTCATTTCCTATTAATTGCTAATAAAATGGAAATAATAAACCATTGTTTGAGGATGAGCTCAGTGTGTCTCAGTACAGTGTACAGTGTGTTCTAAACAGCTTTATTTTCAGTTTTTTGGAAGAGAATTCATCAATAGTGGACTGTCTCAATGCCTGTATTTGCAGAATCTCTGCATATCTCATTAGCAGTGAAACAAGGTCAACAATGTTCTCAGTAGTTTTCTTTCCCCCTTGACCATAGTTCAAAAAACACTGAGCTGCAGATCTGGCCTCCACAGATGTAATTCTACCCTGCACTGTACTTTCATCCCTTTTCTCCTCCTCATTAGAGCCTTTTAAAAGACATTTTGAAACCCTGAACCAAAGCTGTTCCTAAGGTAACTTAACTTGAAGGCTGTAGGGATGATTCAGAAATGAATTTGGCCTTGCATCTGTAATTTCTGAGACTCTGAGCTGCTCTTTCCTCACTTTATCCTTCTTTGAATGTACATAGTAAATTTGAAAGTACACTGACAAAATACAGAAGGGTGGTGAATTCCAAAATTAGATTTCTGAAGTGTAATGCAGCAAGGAGGATTATGTGCCCAAATGTTGCCCCTGCTTTCTTTTTATAGTCAAACTGATATTAAACATAAAGCCTCCAAGCTACCCAATGATCTGTACCTCATCTCATGGTGGTTTAATGAGCCAAATGGAAGTTTGGGAAAGGCAGGCATTTGTTATTAGAGTGAACTGTATTATCAGGCAGTTAATGATGTCTCCTATAGTAGAATCCAAAAACTTTAATGCCTGGAATCTTTACATGAATGACCGTTTTTGCTGAAAGTGAATAAATACATTCTTGTAGCGTAGCTAGAAATAACATGGCATGTGGCATTGGCACATCAGTGAAGATGCTAGTTTGTTATCCCCCTCACTTTTTTTGTATGCCCATGAGCTACTGTAGCATCTGAGCTTTTCCTAAATGGAAACTTATATTCGCAACAACCTCATGAATTAAAGGAAGTTCAGATCCAGGACCTTGTTTTGAGGCCCACAGTGTGCACTGTGAAATTCTGGTTTAGAATTATGTTCAGTTTCTGGTTTGCAATTTAGATCTTTGCTTGGTTTCCAAGCTCAGAAAGCTAGGAGTTGTCATAGACTAAATGATACTACATTTTCTGTAAGTCTGTTTTACACCATCTCTAGAACATTGTCAGGATTCATCTTTGTCTTTTCTCTGCCTCTTCCATCATCTTAAATTATCCTTTAATTGCATCACATCTCAATGTATTCATGTCATTTCCATTTTTAATGCTTAATCTTCATCCTTAGTTCATAATTCTACAGCCCAAGCAAGCAGGAAGTTTTCATCCTCACCAGCTGTTCTATTTGTTCTAAATATAATTAATTTGATCTTCTGGATCTTCTGTGTTTTGGGGGTGGGTTTTTTTTTATTTTGATTTTTATTTTTTTTACAATTCTGGATTCAAAGCATCAAACTCCCTGGTCTCCCTGCTACCTGTTCAATATTCCTTTAAACTAGTCATTTCATTTCCACCTTTTAGTTCTTGCAGTGCCTATCTGAAAATCTTCTTTTTATCGCCCTTCCACCCAAACCAACAGCATTACCTCTTCTCTCTAAATCTTGCCTGCAAACTTTCGTTTTCACTTTAGCATGTGAACAGATGCCACTGAAATGTGGTTTTATGATGCCTTTTTATGAAAGATGTTATAAAAAAATAAATTATATTGAAGTTAAGCAGTCTCTGCTGCATAAGTCAGCAAACCAAAAAACAGTTTTTGCCATGTGACGGTAATGAATCAATCCTCCATGCAGACTTTCTGCCTTTAGAATTATAGGCCACTTGCTCAGAGCATTTTAAAGGACCTAGTAAAACATAGCATGGGGCTATATAAAAGTCTGTCAGTCTCCTTTTTGTTTATTGATGTGGGTGTTTTCAGTAAGAACAACCAATTGTAGTGCAGAACCTATTGGTGTGGGGGTTTTCTCTTTCTCTTCCTTTTTAAAGCTTTTAACATATAATTTTGAATCCCATTTTCACTCTCAGATAGTATGATTAGCTTAGTGCTTTCAAAACTCAGCCACTGTAGTAAATAGGAAAACAATAAAACATTCCCATGCATGTATCCCTTCATAATTTAGACTTGCACACTTCTCTATGACTTTAATGATGACATTTTTGCCTTGTTAAATTCTTTGAAGATTAAGGCCTTAAATAGGAATTGGTTCTCTCTCAAAGTGAAATTTAAGCTATTAATTATGGAAGGGACAAAGTTATTTTCATGTAGATTAGAATCATTAGAAGCATGCACTTTTTGGATTAATATGTTCTTTGTAAAAATAAGGCTTACTTTCTCTTGTCATTTCAAATTAAACTTCTTTCACAATGGTGCTGCACCACTGAGGTGTTTCAGGGACTCCACAAACATTTGAGGCTTATAACAGAAAGATTTGTGTCTTGCAGAACCTGAATGGTACCATGGGGGGAAGCAGTGTCCTTTATTGAATAGAGCACCGGACTGGGAGCTCAAAGACCTGGCATTTATTCCTGGTTTTGCTACTGACCTACTATATGATTACAACAAGTCTCTTCATTTCCCTGTACTCATTTCCTTTCTATTTATTTAAATTCCTTTCTTACCAATTTAAATTGTAAACTCTTCAGGGCAGTGGATGTCTCCTTCATATGTTTGTCCTATGTCTTGTTCAATGGAATCCTGTTCCCAACTGACGCCTTCTGATAGTATTATAATCAAATAACTGAGAACTTATGGTGATAGGGTTGCAACATTATAATAGTCTTTTCTTTACATTGTTTAAAGCACCGTAAAATACTAAGTAATCTTCACAATGCTCCAAAAGTGGCTATTTAAATGTTATCTCCATAGTTTATAGGTAGGGTAATAGACCCAGACAAAGCCAAGTTTAGTAGTGTATTACAGCCCCTTTACAGTATGTCAAGATGGTGTCATTGGCAGCATTTGTCGATTCTTGGTAAACAGAGAGAAAGAGGAGCTAACACTGGGCCACTATCTATTGTTTCATCACCTATGCCAGGCTTCTACCTTTATTTCTTGAAGAAAACTTTAAGGCATTCACTCTTCCATCTGGTCTTCCACCCCAAAAGCCACACAAACCAACCCCAAATATGCACTGGAGATTTCTGATGCCATAGCTATGGTGTTCAGAAATTTGGTGAGGAGCATAACATAGATGTGCCAGCAGAGGCTCCTTGTTCAGTAGTCCCAGATGAGGGGTTATAGTACTTAAAAGTATGGTCACAAACTCTGGAAATTGCAGAAGTGAAATCATTAACCCAGAAGCGTGGTTGCCAAAAGAAAGGTTTGTGAACCACTGCCCTAGGGTAAAGGCAACTATACTAGCAAAGCTCCATCTTTGCTGATGTAGCTTGTTTTGTCTAGTGAAGGTGGAGGGGTGCAAAGTGTTGTTTAATATTTAGACAGGCAAATGGCCTTTTTTACCAGTATAAGCTGCATTCCCACAAGAAATGTTTTACCAGTAAGGCATACCAGTGTAGTTCAGTCAGCAAAGTGCTCTAATATAAACCAAATTGAACATTGGCAGAAAGGGGATTCCAGATAGTATAGTAATTCAAGATAGCATAGCAAATAGGGTTTTTAGCATACACGCATATATCTGTGAATATTTTTATTGTTAGACCTACGAATTGTAAGGTAGAGTGGAAGGGGGAAGAGGGGGATTGGAAATAAATGGTGGAAAATAAGATGGATTTGGAGGTATTTAAAGGAGAACTCTGTAGGCGTATGGAGGGTTGTCCTAGAAGAACTGAAGCAGCAGAGGCTGAAAGCAAGAATAGGAGAAAGTGACACAACAGTGAGACAAGAAGCACGGGAAAAAGAAGAAAGTAGTAAAAAAGGAGAGAGATGCAGGAAGTAGTACAGAGACCCAGAATGAGGATTAGGAGACTCAGAGACCCAGCAGTGATGATAAAGAGTTTTAACGACTTGTGGAAGATTCTTGCGGAAAGAGACAGGTAGTCAGTAAAGGGACTTGAGCAGGGTCGTGATATAATAGCTACAAGCTTTACAGCTGCACAGATATTTCATTACTCCAGTATGTTGGCTTCTGCACTCTGCTTCACTCCTAAATATGTTCTTCATGTCCTTGACATCAAGGAATCTTGCAAATGAACAGAAGCACTGTCAAAAGCCCTTGCTCTAGGTATTTATTCTGTCAAATGAAAATGGGTTTCTCCTTCTGCAACCTTCTGTGCATTTGTCACAGTGCCACATCTACAATTACACTTTTTGTGTCTGGAAGTAAGGGGCCTGCCTTTTACCTAGTTACCATGTGGAATAGATGCAGAGCATTTACTCATCATAAAAGAGATAAATCCCCAGATGTTTGAACTCTCTGTAATTGTATCTAATGACAGCTATATATAGCCCTAGTTAATTATTTAAAATTATATTTCTTTTTTACCAGAGAGCCATATGTGTGACAGTACATTCTGCAGGCTCCTATTTCTGTTGATTATTCATAAAACATTCATTTTAAAAGTAAACAGAATAAACTTGACTGCAGTCTCACCAAGTACAGCTCTTAGATGGAGATAAACCCAATTTCCATCTGAATTCTGAGTCTTCCCTGACACTTGATAAATCTGAAAGAACCTGTTTTTCCTAAGTGGCCCAGAGGCTACAGAACAACTTGCCAAACTGAATAGCAGTATAAATTTGGAGCATTCCTTCTGGCTGTTTTATGTCTGAAGGCTTGAATGAAGCAACATGAATCTGACAGAAAATAAACTGGAGATGCAACTGATGCATGTTAACTTGCCCCAATGAAAAAAATAAATTGTCCTTGCAAAAATCAATGCCATTTTGTAAACCAGTTAAACCCCAGGGATTTTTAATTTGTAAAATGTATGTTGGGCTTGACTTTTGCATTATTTCATCTGATTTGAAAAAGAGAGCAAGAGAAAACCAGTACAAAAGCTTTAAGCCCCCATAAAATTTAAATACAAGGTCAAACATTCAACTAAGAGGCAATCCCTAGCATTGCTAAAAGGAGCTATCAGAGTTGGGTAGGGTTTAACAATTATTTTGGTATATACTTTCTATCAAGAGTTGTCAGAAAGAGCCCCTAAAACAGGGGTTGGCAATCTATAGCCTTTAGGCCACATCCAGCCTGCAAAGACATCTTCTCCAGACTACCACAGCGGGGGGAAATTGGCAGCATTCAGAATCAGCTGCATGCAGCAGCATTCGGCACCAGAGAGAATTAGCAGCATGTGGCAACATTCAGTTGCAGAGGAAATCAGCAGCACATGGAGGTATTCAGCAGTAAGGAAAACTGTAGTGGCTGGGTTGTAAGCCGTGGCCCACTTGGGACTGAGCTGCATTTATTCAGCCTGCCATTAATAAAAGGGTGCTGATCCCTGCCCTAGGAAACCATTCCAGCTGTGGACGACCCTTGTGGTGAGCCACATTTTGCTGCCATCAAATCAATTTGGTGGAGCAGAGAGGTTGACCCATTTTGGGATCATGGTTCACTGTCTTTATGCATATGGGAATCAAATATAATTTTAATATTTTTCAAGTTAGCTAACAAAATATATTAACAATAGCAATCACTTCTCATTAGCCACCTATCTGTCATCTTGTGCTAGACACCTTGCATAAGCTAAGGTAATTTGAGGTTTTACACACAGCACAGATTCCAAAGTGTGTGGGCCGGGAGCGGTCCGAGGCCCTCGGGGG